CCCCAAAACCCCAAAACCCCAAAACCCCATAAGGTAAAAATAATTATAGTATAAATTATGAGGGAATAGATGTAATTTAAAATTCAAGAATGTATATTTCATTTAGATAAACTATTCTCTAACTTTTTTTTTGTATTCAAATTTTTCAAAGTATTACTTTTTGCTTCATTATCTAGGCTAACTTATATTTTATTTACCTTTGCTGTAGAGGTATAGTTAGATTAATCTTTTATTTCCACTTCCTCTTGTATCCTAACTTACTTTTTCTACACTGAAACTTATTCCTATATTACTTCATGTTTTGAGAATGTATGCTGTTAAGTCTTAGACTCTTCATTACTACTAGCAATCAAGGATTTAGTATTCAAGTTAACTTGTACAAAGTTAGTCTTTTTGCTATTTGCTGTTAGACTATATTTCTATTAGTTTTGAGGATAATCAAGCTTGCTAGGAGAATTATTTGATGCTGATATTAAAGATCTGTTAACACTGTCTGAGTTTCTTGTTAGGCTGTTTCTCTTATCAATCTTCATGAGTTCAAGTTTAGATGAAGGGATTAAACGAGATTATCTAGCTGTCAATGGTTAAGCAATAGGCTGCTTCTTGCTGCTATTATTGCTTTTTAAAACTTTACTATTTTCCTTTGATCTCTCTTCAGATTGATTCTCTCTATATTATTTACTCATTGCAGTATATTAGCTAGCTCTTTGCATAGATGATTAAATATTAGGTTTAAAAGTCAACTCTTTCTTATTTTTTTCGAACTCCACATCCTCAGATTTAACATCTTGTCCTTTTTATTTAACCTTGTATAGTTCTTCAAATACTTTTTGAGGTTCTTTTCTATCTGGAGATTTCTCACCATCTTTTAATGGGAATTTCGGTTTTATTTGTGGCTTGAATGTACATTACTCATCGTTGCCTTTTTGTTATTTCTCATCATACAACTATTTCTTTTTTAGTTCGTACTCTTTTCCTTTCTGTAACAGTACTGATACTCTATCATTTTTGGTCTTAGATTTTTATTCATCTATATTCAGTGACATATTTGGATTAAATATCATTTTTTACACCATTTTTTCAGATTTCTTGTTAATAACTGGCTTATAGCTAGGCTCCTATTCAGGTTAATATGTTTTTATTTTTTACTACTGCTCCAACTTAAGGAATTCCAATCTATGCTTTCTTATTCCTGAAAATTTATTGGATAATCTTTGCATCTCCTCTTCGCTTAACTGAAATTCATCGTTTTCATTTATCTTCCCAATAGAATCTGAACCTGACGTCTCAGTGTTGCCTTGAGTTTCTTCAGCATATCTCATCCATGGCTGATAAAGTTTTTGCACACAAGCTAGAAATGTAAGTGTATTTCTTCTAGTAAGTTTATATTTCAAAACTTTTGCAACATCTCCAACAGCTCTCTGCTCCTTTTGTATTTCTTAATCTGTATAGCCTAATCTGCTTAACAGTAGTTAAAGTTCATAATCATCTTCTAATTTTCTCCATTCACTAGGATCTTATTCATATTTGACTTGACTTTTATCGGCTGAGAATCTGGTATCTAAAACAACCTAGCTCACACTAATTATCTCTGCATAAACCTTATTGAATTATTTCTCAAATGTTTTGAATAGCATTATTACTGAACCTTCTTAAGCCTTAATATTCTCGGTTTTCTAAACTTATTAAGCTAGTAATTTGTCTTTTTCTAGTCTTTTCTTTGAATCTAGAGTTAGTTCGTCAAAAGCATTTCTATTTTTGTTAGAAAGCATTTACTATGCTTTCTTTGATATTTGAGGCCTGAATGTGTTATTTGGGTCATCATAGGTCTTTTTCTTTTCTTCCTTTTTAGTAAATCTTTCTAGCCACTCATGCTCATTAAAAGTTTACTTTTACTTCTTAGGACCTGCTTCCTTCTCTATCACTTCTTGCCTATAATAGTAATTTTAAAATTATTTTATAAATTTACTTTGCCTTTTTAAGTTTTTCCTCTTTGTCCTTAATAAACTTAGATTAAGAATCTAGAAACTCTTATTTTGATCTTAATTTCTTATCTTTTGATGCCGTATACATTACTGGGGTAAATGTGCAATCCTTTAAATCATCATCCTCTTTTGAGGCTTGAATTTGATGTAGCTAATTAGAAGAGTTAAAATTAATGATTGTATTGATACCTCTTCTTTTTTCTTTCGAAGATACTCACCGTCCTTGTATAGTCTATCATACGCTGAAGATTTCTTTTGAACTGACTAGTCTGTTTAATTTTTCTATAAAGTTACTCTTTTATCAAAGTGTTTTACCTTAATATACTCCTCTACCTTTTCCTCTGGTAGCAGATGTCTAATTATTTCATCTCTGGAATCACCATTTATCTCGGATTTAAGAATTTTGTCTTGTAGCTTGTTATAAGCAGCCTTGAAATCTTTTTAGATATGTGAAGTTGCTTTCCCCAATTTTCCAGCATAGCTCTAAGATTTCAACTGGCTTGATTATTCATTATAAGAAAGGTTCAAATTTAAGGGACCTCCTGATTTAGGTTTTCCAACTACACCTGAAATAGATCTTGGCCCTTGACCCCCTTATGAATCAACAATTGAGGAGATGAAATCTGGATTAGATATCACTATAAAATTAAGTTAATCAAAGGCTACATCTTGGTTGCAAGTTTTAACTCATTATGAAATTAATTTTACTAATTATTATTAGTTAATTTAATTATAAATTTAAGAGTTCAATGGCATCAGCAGCCTCACTTTATCAAGATTTAGAACCAAAGTCTATTTATTATGATAAGCGCTCAGGTATCTCCCTCCTAATATATAAATATAAACTTGCAATTAGGTCTAACTCAAGAATAATACAAAGAAAAGTTGGTTCTTTCGACAACTTTGTATGTGGGTAACTTGTCGTTCTACACTAATGAAGCTCAGCTACTTGAGTTCTTTTAACTGTGCGGTGAGGTAGTCAATCTGATTATGGGATTGAATAGAGAAAAGAAATAGCCTTGTGGCTTTTGCTTTGTTGAGTATGCTACTCGTGAGGAGGCAGCTCTAGCAATTGAGTGTCTTAACCTTTCATTAGTCGATGGAAGAAAGATCAGAATCGACTGGGATCCGGGCTTTGAATAAGGAAGACAGTTCGGCAGAGGCAAGAGTGGAGGTCAAGTCAGGGATGAACTAAAACCTGATTATGCAGATAAGGATAGACCAATATAGAGACCATAGTAAGATTGTCAAAATTTAAATTTCCATTTAGGAGAGGAGGCTATAGCAGACACAGTGGTGGAGGAAACTTTGATAACAACAGAAAATATCATCAGGGAAGCAGAGGCGACTACAGAAGAAGTGAAAATGACTCTAGAGATAACAATAGAAAGAGATACAGAAACGATGATGAAGGAGATAACAATGATGGTGACTACGACAACAGAAGAAAGAGACAGAGAAGAGACAATAACCGCGACTATGATAATAAGAGTGATGAGGAAATGGGTAATTGAATATCAGTGTTCAACTCATCTTGATTAAGATTTTAATTCAGCTTCGAAACCACAATTATACTATACTTAAGTGATTATTTCTTTGCTTGTTTGGATTAATAAGTTCATCTATTCACAACACAACTTATCTACTTTTAAGGGGTTTTGGGGTTTTGGGGTTTTGGGGT